GCGTGCTGTGGCTGCTTCCTCTGACAAAGGCTCCACCGGGGGCCCCATGGCACCACACATTCCACCCGGGGGTGGGGGTGGGGGACAAGTGAATGTGGACTTGCCCCGTGGCTCATGGGGTGTCCGCTCCCCGGGTGGGGAGGGGAGCCAGACCGACCCAAGGAGCAAGGAGACAGTAACGGCCGGCCCGGAGCACCCTGGCAGGGTGCGGAGCAGGTGAGCCGCGGTGGTAGACACACACGTGGGGGGTCATTCTGCCATGCAAAGGCCAGTTACCCTGGGCCCCGGGGAGGGCAGGCCCTGAACACATTTGCTGAAGGAAAGAAGCCAGACGCGGAGGGCACATCCCACGCGAACGTTCCCGAAGACGTCTGCGGTGGTGGCACGGCCCGATGACTGTACCAAGCGCCCGCTTTGTGTCCCCGGAGCGCGAGGGCCGCGCACAGAGCAGGAATCATGGCGGAACCCCACCTCCTGTCCCACGAGACAGGCACTGAGGGAGGAAGGGAGAGGCCGAGGCGGGGCGGCACAGGCCTCGGGGGTCAGGTGCGAGCCTCCTGGAGGCCCCATCCCAGTCGGGCCGGTGCGTGCTGGAGAGGGGGCTCTGCAGGTGCGACCCGGTGACCTTAGCGACCTGGCGTCCAGGCTTCTGGGCCCTGCAGAGATATTCCCTTCCAGCTGCTTCCATCCAAGGCAGGGGGTGACCCCCTGGGTCGTACAGCTGTGCGTTGGCCGGCAGGGCTGCCCTGTCCTGGGTTCCCCAGGCAGTGAGTTTGGGGTGGTGGCCCTTTCTCCGAGGCCTGCCATCCACCTGAGGGGACCCACGCGCCAAGAGCAGCTCGCCAGCAGGACCATGGCCATCACACCCCTCCCTGCGATGCCTTTCCTGGGGGACATCTGTGCTTATTTTCTTCCCCAGCCACAGAGAGACTTGGCCACAAATGACCTGCCCTGAGCCAACCGTGGTGGGAAAGGCAAGAGAAATGTCCTCCCCTCCACCGCCCCATGTGCTGGAAGACAGCAGCCCACCCCTCACGAAGCACCTCCCCGGGGGACCTCTTTGCTCTGCCCTCCCCAAAGGCCTTCTCCAGCCCTGCACCTGCTGCCCGTGTTGGGGCCTCCTGAGCTAAGCTTCCCTCTACCCCAGCCTTGAGGGAACTATGGCCGGGCCCTGAAGGATGCTTCTGTCACAGGGTTGGCCAGGCCAGGCCAAGATGGTGACGCCAGGGGCCCTGAGGGGCCCTTGGGTCCTGGCTGGGAGCTGTGGGAGCCACCAGCATCACACATGCCCTGGAGCTTCCAGACCTTTGGACTGGGCACTCACCCCTGCCCAGGAAGCCAGAGGGCAGGAACGTCTCATCCTTCCTCGGGGATAGAGGGGTGACCTCACACACAGGAGACGACAGAACAGCCAGTGGAAATCCAGAGTCCAGAGTCCTCTGGGGGCCTCCTGCCTCTTGGGGAGCCCATGGGCCATAATGGGCTGAGAGAAGCAGGGAGCTCAGGGGTCTGCTGGGTTTCTGGAAGCTGAGGGTCTGGATGGGTGGGGAAATGTGAGAGGTGAGAGGCGACACCAGCCCAGGTTCCTGAGCCACAGCTCGCAGCCCACAGCTTCTGAAGAGAAGAGTGCTGACAAATGTTGGTGAATCGGGCCCTGGGGTGAGAGCCCTTCGGAAGGGGAACGGAGAGGCTGGGGCACCCACCGGCGGTTCCAAGCCTTCCTGCTGCACCAAGGGACACGGTCGTCACCCCCTGCTTTGCCTGAAGTGGGGGGTGTCTCTGTATCAACGTTCTCTTCACAAACACAGACCTCTGAGCTCTTATGAATGATCCCCTCTTTGTAAGGACCTTCCTGAAAATGCAAGAAACTCCAAGGGAGACGTCCCGAAGCACTGTGGTGGGAAGGGGAGCCCTCACGGCCGCGCTTCCCTGACTCCGGGCCCGTCCGCCCACCTGCTGTTGCTGTTTTCCCTCGGTGCTGCTCAGCACTCCGACAGCAGGGTTCACCTGTTCGGGACCTGGCTCCTTTTTTGGTCCCCCATCACACTGGGACAACCCCGGGGACGTGGGCTGTCTGTCCCCTCAGAGGAGCTCTCGGGGGAAACATGGGGCACGGCTGAGCCCTGTCTTCCTCCGGTCCCTCCTGACCATCGGTTTGGCCCAAGAAGAAGAGTCTCCACTTCTTAAAGTGTTCTGGCCCCGGGAGAGGGGCTGGGGCCACAGAATTCAGCCCTTGGCCGCTTGCCAGGCCAGATAGGCTGGTCCCTGGAAGCCTGCCAGGATGGGCTCGGGTCTGGCGCCTCCCTGGGCTTGGTGCCCACCTCGGATCTGGTTCTTTTTGGAGGAGCCCCTGGCATGGCAACTGGGTCATTTCCCAGGGCCCACGCCTTCTCTGCAGGGTCAGCATGCCCTGTCCTGCTCCTCGGGGGGTCAGGAAGCCAGAGTTCAGGGTTTGTCACTCTGTTCCCTTGGCTAAGCTCGGGGACAGAATTAGCTCTCGTCCCTCACTCTCAAGGCTTTCCAAGTACCCATACCATCCCGGGGAGGGACCAGGCCAGGGCCTCCTGGGAATCTGCCCAAGGCTTTTTCCCTGGTTCCTCTGGGAAGAGATCCAGAGAAAGACTGAAAGTGTCCCAGCGGAGAGGGAGGGGAAGGGGTAGGACCAAGCCCTGCCTGGCTGTCAGGAGAAACCCCTGAGGCTCTGGAAAGATGTGAAGTTCCACTGCAGCCAAGGCAGTTCCATTCTCAGTGGGCCCCGGGGAGGGCTGGCCAGACCTTGTCTCTCCCAGAGTCCACTCAGACCCCTGGGGTGCTCACTGTGTTCCTGGCCTGCAGGCCAAATGCAGAATTTCATGGAAACCTTAGGAGTCAAATCCTCTCCAAACGGTTGGCCTGGAACCGGCTGGGAACACAGAAATCTTCGTGCCGCTAAAGGATGATCAGAAAATTTGGGGCTCGGCAGACAGGATCTCCCCTTCTTCTTCCTCATCTACCCCTGCCCATGAAGACGTGCCGCCACCTGCAAACCACCTCCTGCGAGAGCCGGTGACAGGCTCCTGGGACAGCAGAGGGGCAGGTCTAGCCCCTGGACCCCACACCATGTCATCCAGACACGCCACAATGGGATGATTGATACGTGTGACGTTCTGGGCCTGCCCTCACCGGGCTGGCCAGGGGGACACCTTAGAAGCTTTCTTCCCACCCACCCCCTCACTTTGGGGACACATCTCAAGAACCAAAATGCAGGTGACGAGTCACATGCTGCAGTGAGGTTCAAACTCTACCTCCCGTGCCATAAGCCCCTGGAGCCTGGGCAAGCCATTTCCTTGCTCTGAGCCTCTTTGCTCACCTACCAGACGATCTTTCTAACAGCACCCCACAAACCGGTCCGTGCTTCTCTGGGGCTCTGCTCAGAACTTGGTATGTGCACAGAAAGGCCACCACACCCCAGGGCGGCATCTGTCTGCTTCCCTCCATCCTCTGCTGACACATTCTCGGGGACAACTACCGTGGTGTGTGGCCGATTGCATTATAGTTCGGAACGATGGGCCACGATTGCACGGGGAGTGGATGTCCAGTGGCAGCCAGGGCAGGCTTGACCACATGACCTGCTCTGACCAATGAAATGGAAGCCAAAGTGACGTGCTTTGTTTCCAGGCAGGAACCTTCAGGTGCATCTACCTCTGCCCCTAGTCACCGGCCCAGACGAAGGCTCCTTGCTCAGCCAGGTCCTCAGCATGAAGAGAACACAGAGCTGAGCCACCGCCACTCTTGGCCGACAGGTGGCAATTCTAAGACAAGCCTCCACTGTCAGAAGTCATGGAGACCTGGGGTCACGTCCTGGCTGACATACCTTGCGGCTGTTGGAAGGGGTTCCCAGGGGCTGCTGCCAGGTGCAGTGGGTAATTTAACAGTTAAAATGTGACGCCCTGGGCTTGGTGCCCACTTGGCATGTACTCCAGTGGACACAATCATGACTTGGCATTTCTGCATGGTCCTAACTGGCGATCATCTGGACCTTGAGATCAATCTTCCACTAATGTGAATTTTGTATAAGGGCTGCCGTATGCAGAGCCCGGGGAAGCTCCTACCTTGAACTCTGGGCCTGTGACCTTCTCCTTTACCCCTGGGGAGCTGCTGCCCATCCCCCTCCCCCACCTGGCCACCCACCTGTAAGAGCCATATGGCCAGAGGCCCCTGTCCCCCTGTCCCCCTGCCCAAGGTCACGTTGACAAGCTTGCTGCAGAGAGAAACACACACCAGAGGAACCCCGGGCATCTCTCCCCACGTCTCCTTGGCCGTGATCCTCCCTGGTGACCGAGCCCGGGTCCACTGTGCCATTCCAGACCTCCTCCTTGCTTTCTATTTCCCTTCTAGCTCCTCCCGTCCAATCTGGCTCAGGGGGCTGCTTAGCAGGGGACAGCTGGTGCTGGTGGTCTTCAGAGTTTGGGCTCCTCGGCAACGTGGCCTCTCGGTACCCAGTCATGGCCGGTAGACTGACCCGCTGCTCAGTGGTGCTCACTAAGGACTGGTTCTGATCTGAGCTGGTCGCTTTGAGGCTGGTAGTGCTAGGGGCAGGGCAGAGGGCAGCTCCCCGAAGCCAAGTTCATTCAGGCCATGGATGATGAGGCCAAGTGCCCCCAACCCATGGCTGTTGGAGGGGCCTGGCAGAGGCGGCGAGGAACCACACACCCCAGGTGCGGGACCCAATCTCTCTCACCATCTCTGCCCTCTTCTTGCCAGCTCCACTCCTGGCAGCTGGGGGCCCTAAGCAGACCGACCGTTTCTTAAAGGTTGGGGTTTTATGGTGGGGATCGTCTCCTCCCCACTGCCAAGGACGAGGGGTCAGGGATTTCAACAAGGGAGCTCACAAAAACCATCTCTTTATTTTTCATTCCTGCCATTCAAATGTGCCATTTGCACAAGCTGAGGATGGGTGGATTTCAGAAAAAAGAGAGTATCTGGGTATCTTTTCGGAAAAAAGAGAGTATCTGACTCTCCTGGAAACAGTCTATGCACACTGCTAAGGCTGGTTAGAAGCAATTTAACAATAAACTCTACAGAATTAGAAATGTTTGAAAGTGTCAAGGTGGTTACTGGCTGGTTTCTTGCCTCCCCATGGGGGTCAGAGTTACGCCCATCAGTCCTGTGCAAAGGTCCTGGGGCTGGCCAGGGGGAGGGCACCGGGATTCTTCCTGGGGCCAGGAGCAGTCCTGCTCACCCAGCAGAAGAAGTGTGCCAAGGGACAGGCGCGTGGGTGTGTGCCCAGTACCGTGGCCCCCTCAGGATCCGTGGCTTACAAGCGTGTCTCTGCATCTGGTCTTTATGTCCGCCCTTTGAAAGTGTTCATGCAGGTGTAGGTTCCTGAGAATTTGTAGATCTCCTCCAGTGCAGCCTGTGGGAGTATGCTGGGGAAGGCGGAGGGAGAAGGAAGATGGTTAATGGGGACACCGGCAGCCAGTTCACCAATGGCCACAGAGAACCACACAGTAGAGCAGTGGCTTTGATACCTGCCCCCCCCCCCCGGACCACCCCCCCCCCCCCATGGAGGAAGGGCTTTTGAGTGAGTGGATAAACAGTGCTTCCGAAGTAAAGGTGGGTGGTAGAAACAAATTTTCAAAACCACGTTCTTAGCATTTTGGAGCCAGTCGTTATCTGATCGATTAGTTATCTGATCAATTAACTCCACATTCCACTTATTCAACAAATATTTGCCCTGTGGGATGGAGGGGTTAGGCCCTGCTGTTCTCTCCAGGGAAACTTCCCAGACTCACCCCCAGGCCTCTCCTTGGGCTCCCACAGCCCCTGCGCTTCCCCAGTGGCCCCTGCCATGTCCTTGCTGTTGGCTTGTCAGGCCCATGCTTGCCGCGGAGGGAGAGACCTCATCTCTGACCCAAGCCCCACAGGCAGGGCTCGGCATAGAGAGCCCCTCAGTCCATTTGTTAAATCAAATCGAAGGGCCCTGGCCTGCTCTCAGTGCAGGACGGGAAGGGCTCACTTCCACCCAGAGCAATCTAGAAGGCTCCCTGGAGCGCGTGTGGCACTAGAGTTGAGCTTGTAAAGATTTTTCTCGGGGACGGTGAAAAGTGGGTGTTGTACAGGGGCTGAGGAAGGGGATGGCCTCTGCTTCCTGTGGAAAAGTAGTGGGGGATAGAAGAGGGAATTTAGGCTAGGGGGGTTTGGGGGAAAACACTGACATGTTCTAGACAAACCAGCTTTTTTCTAGAATGTTCAGAAAGGCTTCTGAGAAGCCCCCTGCAGTGGAGGGCGGCAGTCTCGACTCGCCTAGGGTCACAGAGGCAGCAAGGAGCATCTCAGAGCAACAGTTGTGATGACTAAGGGATGCAAAGATGTGGCCCAAATGCCCCCAGGTGCCCCCTGCCCCTGCCCCTACTCGGTGTCTCTAAAAGAGCTTTGAGTTTGGACAGACTGATGGGTCCCCTCCGTGAGGAGGTCCCCGTGCCTGCAGTTAGAGCAACTTCTCAGCTGTAGACACATAGCCAGAGGGAACCTGTTTCCTGGGCCCTGATGTCTGATGAAGGCACTTGGGTCCTTCATTTCCTGAAAAGGCCTCTCAGGTTAGAGGGGCCCCGTCAGCGGGGGGCGGGGGCCAAGACGAGGCCCAGAGGAGCTAGAAGTCAACAGCCACAGGGCTCCAGCATCCAAGCTCTCCCTGAAGCACCAGGTTTCGCTGGGTACCTGGAATGGCCCCTTCAGGGCAGGGCTGGGAGGAGCAGGGTGTGCTGCTCAGAGTCTAGAAAGTTCTAGGAAACGTGATGCTGCGCCGATTCTGAAGGAGGATGCTCTCCTCTTTGAAGCCGACCTCCTGGTACATCCCATCTGACCAGCCCTGGAGCACTTCTGGGAATCCCAAACATTGAGATCCCTATTTTCCCCCACTAGATTGAACTTCCTGAACATTGGGGCCAAGTGCTAGTCTCCAGAACAGTGGTTCTCAAAGGGTGGCCCAGGAACCCTTGGGGGACACCTGAAACCTCTTCAGAGGTCAAACTGTTTTTGTCATAAGACTAAGACGGTTTTGCCTCTGCACGCCTCTCTCCCACATGCAGCTGAGTCTTCTGGAGGCGACATGCCATGTGACATCATAACCGATTAAAATCAGAAGCAGATCTACGCGTCCAGTTGTCTCCAATTAAGTCAGGCAATAAAGAACTTTGCAAAAATGCAAAACAAGGCCATTCTTCCTGCTACTTTTTCTTTTTGGTGGAAAATACCCTTTTTATAAATATATCATATTTCTGTGAACAAGGGATGGACATGGATTTATTACTGCTGTTTATACATGAGCGAATATTTTAAATATAAACAAATACATAAATTTGGTAAAACTTTTTCTGTTTTAATGTATCATACTGTAACTAAGAATAGAGACAACTCACGTTTAAAAAAAAGGGGGGGGAAGCTTTGGTTTCCCCTAATTTTTGAGATTGTAAAGGAGTCCCGAGACCCACAAGTTTCAAAACGGCGGCTCCATCCTAAGTGTAGGAAATCCCCGGCACGCAGGCCGCCTGTGCTCACTTTCGTGCCCACGGCAGACATGACTAATCGATCACAGAGTCCTTTCTCCTGCCTGCTGCCTCCTCCCCACCAGGGTTCTCTGGCAGAAGGGGAATGGCCAGCAGGAGCCGGTCTCCGAATGTCCGCCCCCCACCCCCGACCCCCAGCGCTTACCTTTTCAAGATGATGAGGGCATGCATGGTCCACGGAAGCAGGAGGAGGGCCTGATTCAGCTGCACGGCTTCCACCGTCCTCCGGGCCACCGTCTCAGGCTTCAGCGGTGGGAAGAGGTTGGGGAACCTGACGCAGGAAGAACCATAGGGGATTCTGCTAGAGAAGCCTGTGCTTCTGCTGACCTCCTCCGTGACTAACAAATCTGGCCCATCCCTCTGGCGTCTGCTGTTTGGAAGACCCGAGTCCCCTTTGGAAGGCTCTGCCCACCCGCACCTGCTGCCCCAGTAGCGCTGCGAGCGCCCCCCCCTTCCCTTTCTCCCCAGTGAGCCTGCCCTTGAGAATGGAGATCTTGTAGCCCATCCCCCGGGACCCATTCTCCAAAATGCTTCCCAGGGATCCTATAAAGTGTCACTCCAGGGGCGACCGGGTGGCTCGGTCGGTTAAGTGGCTGCCCTCAGCTCAGGTCATGATCCCGGAGTCCTGGGATCGAACCCCAGATCAGGCTCTCTGCTTCTCCCTCTCCCTCTGCTGCTCCCCCTGCTTGCGTGCGCTCGCTCGCTCTCTCTCTCTGTCAAATAAATAAATAAAATCTTAAAAATAAAATAAAATGTCGCTCCGATCCTGTGTCTGCCTGGCCCAGCCCTTCCCAGGGGCTCCCAGGGCCCTCCACGGCCCTGCTCCATGTAGGCCCTTCCCACCCGCCGCCTGACCCCTCTTCCGTGTCACTCTGCTCCAGCAGCCTTGGCCAACCTTTCTGTTCTTGCCACTTAAGCTCTCTGCTGGCAGCCCCATCCGAGAGGGTTCTCAGCCCATCCACTCGGGGTGGCCTCTGCGCTTCTCCCTCTGCTAACTCTCTGGACTGCACTGACCACCTCGGGAAGGGCCTCGCCTGCCTGTCTGTCTCCTTGGTCATGGCCTGTCTCCCCCCTCGGACTGTGAGTTCCACAAGGGCAGAGGTCTGGTCGGTCTTGCTCTCTGTGTTCTCCCCTCGGTGCAGAGTCTGGTCCACAGTGGTGCTCAATCAGTGCTCGTGGAAAAGATGAACACGGAAAAATCCACTGTTCCCCAAATGTGTCCTGCTCATCCTGTCGGAGGCAGGGGGCTGCGGGATGGCCCCTCTCTGCCCCGCTCGCTGCTTCCCTCGCTGATTCACGGATTCACCGACTTGGCCTTCCCAACGCGGACAGAGCGCTTTCCAAGGGGTTGGTAAACGAACGACTGAACGCGCCAACGCCGGGAGCTTTCTCATGCCTGTTCGGAGGCCTGTGACCTGAGCCCCACATGGTGATGACACCCCTACCTGCCAGACCCGTGCGAAATGAAACAGGCGTCATTTGCTCCAATTTATAGAGAAGGAAGCTGAGGCTCTGGGGAGATTAGGGGAGGCCCTAAGGACTCAAGCCAGGCCAGCAGGGGCCCCAGGCCAAAAGTCTGTCCTCGCCCCTGTGGGCCTGTAGGCCCAGGGCTGACCGTCATCCCCCCGTGAGGGCTTGCGTGCTGTTCGGGCCCCAGAAGCACTTAAGTCACTCAGAGCTGACGTTACCTTGAGCAAAGGCAACTCTTGGGACCCAAGCATGGGCTGGGTTGGTCTCAGAGACCCCCACACCCATTCCCCACTTTGCTTCCTTTGCTCTCCCAAGGTGCAGCCAAGATACTCCCAGCCCTGCTGTAGAATGGAAGGGCAGCCCCCGGGGCCTGCGGAGAGGACTGCGCTGAGGCGGCTCACGGAGGCCAGATCCCTACAGACACAGCGCACGGTCTGGTTTTCCAGCCCCGACCTGGGCTGGTCCTGCTCGCTCCTTGGAGGAAGGGAAGGCGGGGTGCATGGGCCAAGCTCCGTGGGTTCAGGGGGGCCCTTCCTCGTAAGGCCCCTGCAGAAGAACCTGACGGATGCCAGCACGGCCGCTGGAGGGTCCTTCTCCTTTCCCCTCTGTGGGTGAGATGGGTCCCCAAGGCTTTGCCAGAAAGCCCATCAGTTTTCTCATGGCTGGGGAGGAAGCCAGTGGTTTTCTTTCTTTTTTTTTCCTTTGAGAAGTGGGAGGTGGCTAGACAGCAATAATCCTCTTCTGACTCTTTCCCCAGCTCCTTGGGGCTCAGCCACACACCCGGAGGTGCCTTCACCTGGAGCTTACTACTTGTCGGGCAGGCTAGTGGAGTCCCATCTCGGGGCTCATCTAACCTGTGAAGCAGGGGCTACATTACCCATCCCTTCTTAGAGATGAAACCAAGGCACAGAAAAGCTAAAGTGACTTGTCCAGGTCCCACGGAGCTGGCCCGAGGCTGTGTGGGTCCACACGCGGAACCACTGCAGAAACATGGCTTGGGGAACCTTGCACTTCCTTAACGTGCCAGAAGGTGAGACAGACAACCTGCCAGAGGCCTGCTGATACCCCACCTAGTTCTGTGTTCTGGAGCCCAGCCAAAACCCCGGATTGCCCCTGTTGCTCTTCCATCCAATATGCATTTACGGAGCACCTCCTGTATACCCAGAAGAAAAGAAGCCAAACTTGAGATGTGATAGGGGAGAGGGAGCCAACATGGGACATTAACTGTCATTTATCGAACCTCCTCTACATACAGAATCCACGATGCTTTGCATGTCCAGCAGGTAGAAATTTTGGTGGCACACGGAAGGGGTGATCGGCGAGGAAGATTAATCACATATGGCTTCTCAGAGATGCTCGCTGACGGCGAGGACAGGAGAGCAGCAGTTCGTTACTGGGGGTCTGTAGGCCAGGCTTTGCACCAGAACCTTCTGTGTGTTGCTTCAATCCCTCCTCATGAGCCCCTCAGGGAGGTATGATGTCCACTCTTACAGACCAGCGGAGTATGGCTCAGGGAGTCGGCAAAACTGGCTCAAGGTTTTGCAAATCCAGAGACCCGGGGGTATCGCCAAATGACTCAATACTAACAGCTCGGGGAGATGGAGGGACCCCGCATGGCTTGTGCTCTGCAAAAGGCCCTCCGCTGGCTGACTCATTCAATTCCCACGAGGACCCTCTACGTCATCCTCGTTTGGGGAAGAAGCTGGTGCACCAGATTTGGAAGGGGAGTTTGTAACTGGGTGCTGTGTTGCAAAAAGCAGGGAAAGCAGCTTTTCATTTCTCCATGACCTTATGCGGCTTCACAAACCTTCGTCATCGTAGCACCAATTATTGGGCTCTTACTGTATACATACATGGTGTGGTGTGGCAGGTCCCATTTTATCCTTATCGCAGAACCTAGGTGTGGACCTCCTCACCGTCTCTCCCTTTCTTCCTCCCTCCCTCCCTTCCTTCCTTTCTCTCTTTCTTTATTTCTCTCTTTCTTTCCTTCCTTCTTTCCTTCCTCTCTCTCTTCTTTCTTTCTCTCCTCCCTTCCTTCCTTTCTTTTTGGAGAGCGAGTGAGAAAGCCGGGTGGGGAGGAAGGGGCAAAGTGAGAGGGAGAATGTGTGGAGCCCGATATGGGGCTCGATCTCACGACCCTGAGATCCTGACCGGAGCCCCAATCCAGAGTGGGACGCTTAACCGAATGAGCCATCCCAGATGCCCTTCTCATCATCCCGTTTTATAGAGGAGCAGTGGAGGCTGCTGTGGGCGCTAACTGGACCCAGGGTGGCAGGGGACATCACAGGTAGAGGTGAGCTGCCTGGAAGCACGAGCTCTAAAGCCACGGTTCCCAGTCCCTTTGATTGGCCTCAGTATTTCTTTAAATTGAGCTGTATTTTGCATATAATAAAAAGGCATACATCTTTAGTGTATAGCCTGACTCGTTTTCATCTACATAACCACCGCTCAGATCGGGAAGAGAGAACATTTTTAAAAGCCTACAAAGTTCCCTTGGGCCTCCTCCCAAGCTATGTCCCCAGCCCTCGAGGGACGGCCACTGCTCTGGTTTCCATCCCCGTGGCCGGCCTCTAGAGCTTCATATGGAGTGGTCACACAGCATGCCCTCTCCTGCCTCTGGCTTCTTGACCCACATAAGACTTTTGGGATTCATCCTTGCTGTTCCTGGACGGACACTCCATTCTCTCTGCTGGGGGCCGTGCCCGGGGTGGTGGGGGGGAGGCGAGTCCCCCACTCACTGACCTCACCCTCATGCCCTGGAACATCTCGGTGCTGGTGTGGAAGGGCAGCACGGTGGTGGCACTGACCCCTGGACAGTCCAGCAGCCCCAGGGTCAGGCTCTCCATGAAGGCGAAGGCCGAGGCTTTGGACGTGCAGTAGTCAATGGCACCGGGGATGGCGGAGAGCGCCAGCACGGAGTTGAGACACACGATGTGGCCGTTCTGCAGCTCCAGCATCCGCGGCAAGAAGGCCTTCGTGGTCTGAGGGCAGGCAGGAGGTCAGTGTGGGGCCGCCACCTCCAGCAGTCCCTCTACACCAGGCCAGCATGGGCACCTGTGCCCCCTGGATGATGAGCTCCCCTAGGACGGGAGGGGAGGTGGCCGGGGCCTGCCCGCTACAGGGCCTTGACCTCCACTTTCTCGGACATCCACAAGCCCCAGCCCCAGTGAGCCTCTCCCCACACCCAAAGGTCAGCCGGGAGGGAAGGAATGGGTCACTGTCACACCCAAGGGCTGGCTTGTGGCCCGGGATGGCCCTTACCCAGAACTGGCCCAGGGTGTTGATGTGCTGGGACTTGAGAAGGGCGTCATCGTCACTGTCCATGAGGCTCTTCCCGTGGACCACGGCAGCATTGTTTACCAGGATGGTGATGTCGCCCACCTGCGGGCAGGGGGAGCCGTGGGGCCTTTAAGGCAGAGGGACCTGCCCCCTCCACACTCACTGTACGTCCCTGGACAGCCACATCATCTTTCCAGACATCAACCTGGATTCCTGAGACTGGGCTGCCTGCCATCCCAGGTCGATCTGAGGGTCCGAAAGACTTTATGGCACAGAGCAGGTTTATGACAAGTGAGGTTATTGTTACATGGAAGCAGTTAACGTTAGCCGTGTGCCAGATACCAAGTGGGGTGGGCTTTGCTCCCTGGGAGCTCCCTGAGAGCTCATTCAGTGCAAACAGGTTGCTGGAGTCAGGACAAGGATTTTCCCAGAGGACAATGGGATGTTTGCCCCCAGACTCTGGGACAGAAACTCACAAGGTCTGAACTTCCAAAGGGGACAACAGGTGTTATGCAATCAGCCCATACCCCTAATCCCTGCCCTGAGCAACACACACGTGCACACACAGCATGGGCCAGCTTCCTGGGAGGGTCCCCAAAGATGCCCCGGAAACAGCCAGCCTGCCGTTAGCAACACTCTCTCCCAGGCCAGATTGATCTCTGTGGCTGGCCTTCTCCTGGGTCCAGCTGAACTGAGGACGGACCCCTCCGGGCTACTCACCTTCTCCCGGACAGCTTTGGCCGTCTGGTACACCTCCTCCCGGTTACCCACGTCACAAATGAAATAGTGGCACTCGGTACCCATCTGCCGGATCTCCTCCGTCGTCTCCTTCAGGCATTTCTCAGTCCGGCCCCAGAGAACGATCTGGAAGGAGAGGATGACAGCCCTGAGTCAGTGGTCATTGAGTAAGCCATTGTGATTCAGTTGTTGGCATTAGAAGTTCAGCGATCTGCCCGAGGAATTGGCAAGTGAAGTAACCGGGCACCCGGACGGCATCCAAAGAGGGTTTGCAAGGCGCATCGACAATAGGCTTTCCCAAAGGGATAGAGCCTATTCTGAAATGAACGAGTTCTTTCTGAGCCCACTTAGGACCGATCGATTGAGCGTTATTTACAAGTCCTTCTTAGATGCTGCTTTCCACGGGACGCCCCCTGCCAGCTCCATCCCAGAAGCCACAGCAGAACTCCTTCTCTACCGTGTTCCAGAAGGCTCCCAAGAACAAGCTGGTCTTCTCTCCCATTAGAGCCGGAGCCAGGTTTATGAGCACAAGCTGCCAGAATGGACTGGAAGGTCCTGGCCGCGAGGCCCACGGAGGCGAAGTGGAGCTCCCCACCTAGCTGCGGTCCCTCTGGGAAGGAGGGCGTGGAGAGAGGCACCAGGATCCCACTGAGCAGGAGATGTGGCCGTTCCCCTCCCCCACCCCCACCCTGGTAATGAACGTGGGACCCGCTATACTAGGAGAAGACCCTGGTGGGGCCTATGAATGGATTCCTAACGGGGTGGGGCAAAATTAGGAATGGCGGCCATAAAAGGCGCAGAAGAGAAGGCCGGCTAATTCTCAACCTTGACCTAAGCAAGAACAACCCACCTACCTCCCCATAACACGACACGTCGTGGGTCCAGAGAGGCCCCTGTTGGTAAAAGGGCTTGAAGATGGGGAACTACGAATCCCTGGCTCAGAGGGACAGAATGGGGCCGGATGGCATCAGAAAAAGGAAGAAGGGCACGTGGGAGGCTCAGTCGGTTAAGCAACCGGCTCTTGATTTTGGCTCAGGTCATGATCTTGGGGCTGAGAGATGGAGCTTGCAGCCAGCATGGGGTCTGCTTGTCCCTCTCTCTCCCCCTCTGCTCCTACTCTCTCTCTCTCTCTGTCTGAAATAAATACAATCTCAAAAAAAAAAAAAAGGCAGAGATGAGGTTTTCTTCGGGATTAGTCTAATGGGCTTCTATTTTTGTTTCGTCTTCCTTTCTAAAATTACCAACAAAATTCCTCCTCAAGGGGCGCCTGGGTGGCTGTCAGTTAAGTGTCTGCCTTCAGCTCAGGTCATGATCCCAGAGTCCTGGGATCGAGCCCCATGTCGTCGGGCTCCCTGCTCAACGGGGAGCCTGCTTCTCTCTCTCCATCTCCCTCTGTCCCTCCCCCCACCTATGCTCTCTCTCTCTCTTTCTCAAATAAGTAAAATCTTAAAAAAAAAAAAAAGAAAGAAAGAAAGAAAAGAAAGAAGAAATTCCTCCTTGAAAAATAAAACTCAACACGGAACCCAGTGTGTGAAACGAGGGAAAGGAAGAAATCACACGTCCAGCTGCATATTTTCTTCCTCTAGAAACAACTAATGAGAAGGGAGAAGCTGCGTTGGGCGGGCAAATATTTTTGAGTGGCAAATATTTTCGAGTTACAGAAGGGGCTCCCCATACACCAGCCCAGAATCCAGATTTCTCCAGTCTGCTTTGTGACACAGGAGGGACAAAAGTCACACAGACAAGTAGTTGGAGGTGGGAACAGTTTATCAACCTTAAAATCTCAGAACTTTTACTCAAGAGGAAAGGGCCCCAAAAGGGTGTAGCTGACGGGATACACAAGAGAGCTGGGGGGGGGGGGGGGAGTGTTTCCCAGTGGATTTGCTCTTTTTATTAGTGCTCTTAAGGCTTTTGCAATATTTTAAAAAAGAGAATAAAAGTATTTTTTTTTCCACCTCCGGAAACATCGTTGGGAAAGCCCGGTTTGAAGACCCCACCTAGTCGAAGCACTTCACTTCTTGTAATTGAAGTCTTCAAACGCAGGAAGGGTTTTAGAAGGAAGGATTCCATCCGTGGCTCTCCGTGACCACAAAAGCCCATCAAGGGCAAACCGTCTGCAATTAGACAGGCTCCAAGGAATACTTTCTCGTCTGTTGAACTAAAAACAGACTAAGAATGTGCCCCTGCAGCAGAGGCGGGGAGAGTCACTTCGGGAAGAAGAAAACAAACATCTGTTTTAGGAAGGCAGCTGGGTGTAAGCACCCTCCACACCACCAAACCTCACCCTCGCCTTGAGGTCATTGTCACCCAGTTTCCTTCCATCCTCCCTGTTACCCCACCTGCCTGTCTGACCATCCATCCACCTATCCATCCATCCGTCCATCCATCCATCCATCCGTCCATCCATCCATCCACCTATCCATCCATCCATCCATCTATCTGTCCGTCCGTCCATCCATCCATCCATCCATCCTTTCTTCCTCCCTCCCTCCCTTCCTTCCATCCAACCATCTTCCTCTCCTTTCTCCCTTCTACTCACTCTCTCCCATCATCCAACCACCCTTCCACTGAATTTCTGAATATGTCAGCCAGAGGGGATCCTTGGCCTCCTCTCTCCTGCTCTGGTCCCTGCCCAGCAGTATCCCACCTCCAGCTCCTATGGGGAATAGGACCATGGAGCGGGCACAGTTCCCTAGGGTCTGGCAGAAGGCAATGCCTCTGGGGACTCTGAGAATTTCAGGACAAGTGGAGACAGAAGGGAAGCTTAAAGCTGGGGGTGGGTGTTGGCAAGTGCAAGGGTTCTGGGAGCACGAGTGATCACCTTGGAGGGTCCGGAGCAGTGGCACAGAAAGGGCGCCTTCATTCTGGGGACCTTAGGTTGCTTCTCATCACAAGCAGGTGTGCATGGGGCTCCACCAGAAGGGGCACTAAGGGCCCAGGGGTTCCTGGCCGGATTAACTAACTCTTCCTGACCCCCCAGTTCTCAGATCGGTAAAGGAGAGTAGGGTCTAAATCCCCCTACCCCTGGTCTGCCCAGAATACCAGCAGCCAGAAACCAAGGAGGCCAGGATTGTCTACATGGCTGGAAGTGCCCGCTGCGGAGGGAAAGGGGCTGGAGTAAGGGGAGGGGGGTGAAGTGAAAGCTGGGTCCCCTCGTCTTCCATGGGCAGGGCATACGCCCAGGCAGGACCCTCAGGTTTGACCATTTCCTTTTTGGGGTCTGCTGAGGATGCCGCGGGGGAGGGGGCTGGCTTCCTTGGGCTCTGTGCTCGGACCCCCCACCTCTCCCCGGGCACTAGGACAGGCTTACTCTCTGCCTGCCTCACCCCAAGCCCACCGGCCCCCTGCGGGCCTCAAGTCTGGCTTGTTCATTTTCATATTCCGGCACCCAGAGCGCACGTGCTGTTTGCTGAGTGAAGGAATGTTCGGGGCCACAGGTGGGATGGGCTGGGAGGAGGTTTAAGGCTGAGACCCTCCCATCGTCCTTGACTGAGCCATTTAGGGTCCTAGAACCTCCGACACAGAGTGTGCTTGGACCAAGATTCAGTGAGATCCGAATTTCCCCAGAGCCTCAAAACCGTCCTGGGGCTGAGCTGTGAGGTAGAGTCACGTGAGAGGCTCAGGCCCTTGAAGGGGGCAAGGAGTCAGTCTCAGAGGAGAACGAGGGTCAGGCCCACGCGTGTGAGCCTCGCTGGGTGGCCCGAGGCTGGTCGTCTGGGGGTGGGAAGGTTGGGGAGAGAGCTGAGGGGAGGGAGAGTTGGAGCTGCTCCTGCCACTGTCCCTTCCTGGTCTCTCCTCCTCCAGTCCCCTGCCCAGACCCCTCTGAGGACCCAGAGGCACCGAGCGGGCAACCCAGCAGGCCCGCCCGTGTGGTCCATGCCCGGAGTCACCTGGGGGTGACCCAGGGCAGTTGGCAGGACAGGAGTCCCACCCAGCACCAGAACAAGGGAGAGGACGGGCAGGCAGGTGGCGGGGGGTCTGAGAGGAGCATGGGGCGAGCAGCCCAAGGAGAGGGCAGATGTGTCAAGTTAGGGCTCAGGATGGCTTTACATTTGCGGCCTCCCTGCTCCTCTGGGGCGGGGAACGGTTGCTCGAGTCCTTTGGGCTGTGTGGCTGGCCTATGTCAGTGGGGAAGGGGAGCAAGACCTCCAGCCTCCCAGGGGCGGTGGGCCCATACTGCCCGCCTCAGGGAGCCAGGGTTCCAGCGAGGGAAGACAGTGACCAGGCGAGAAAACCATCGGATGCAAATTATGGCGAGTGGGATAAAGAATAAGTGGGGGAACTTCACTTAAATTTGGGGCTGGACGAGGTAGCCATATTATGCCCCTTGTACAGATAATGAAACTGCGGCCCAGAGAGGCTAAGCAACTTGTCTGCGGTCACACAGCAACTGAGTGACAGAGCTGGGATTTGAACCGAGGTTTCTCACCAGCATTCACTCTCTCCCAGTAGGAGAAAAGCCGCTGCCTTTCTTCGTGGGGTCTCCTGGGGATTAAGCATGCAGAAACGGGCACCCACTAAGTGTTCAGTACACGCCCTCTATGATCATTTCCCAGGGAGACAAAGAGCCGAGAACATCAGCACGGCCTTTTGATGGACCCTCACCTGCAGCCATTAAAAGGATGAGAGTTCGTGACACAGGAAAAGGCTGAGGGATCTAACGCTGGGGAAAAAAGACTACAGCCTTGTCCATAAAGGATGACCTCAACTCTAAAAACATAGCAGGTTTTTTAAAAAAGATTTTATTTATTTATTTATTTATTTATTTATTTGCAAGAGAGATTGGGGTGCGCAGAGAGAGGGACAAGCAAGCAGACTCCCTGTCCCCACCCTTGCCAGCCCCACTGAGCACGAAGACGGATGTGGCGCCCAATCCCACCACCCTGAGATCGTGACCTGAGCTGAAATCAAGAGTCAGATGCCAAACTGACTGAGCCCCCCAGGTACCCCTAAAAGCCTAACGGTTTCACGGAAGTCGCCAGGCCATGTAAGAGTGTGGGTTGTCTCGGGTGGGATTGTGGCTGACTGTGGTTTGTGTCTTTATGCCTGGGTGTCCTGAGAAAACTGTCTCTAAAGGACGGCTACCATTATTTATGATCTTGAAGAAGGATGGCAGAAGAAAAGCT